ACCGAACTCCCGGTATCAATGAACACCCTTTTCACATCAAAACCTGCCACCTCCGCCGTAATCACAATGCATTATTGTGGGGCAACACCACTCCCTCAGCATCTTATGCCTGAAAACTTATTTCCGGCATTCGAGCAGTAATCCCCACTTCCTCTCTCTTTCTCTTCATCGCTCGAACATGCCCCTTACTCACATTGTTCGGGTCCCCATCAGTTGGGCCTCCCGAAATCATATAGATCGTTTCTCTCTTTACAGGACCGCGGTCCTCCTGGCCTCCTCGATCTCTACTCCCTCGTCTCCGCTTTCCCCCAGCACCTCCTCGATCACCTCTTCCTCCTCGAGGTTCATCCTCCTCGTCATCTTCTCGATCACTTCGCTCCACCGAATCTTCCCAACACCTCCCTTTATCTTTCCCCTTCACCTTGTCCTCATACACAAATTCCCTGAGATGCGCTGCCCGAATGAGGCACTCGATCTCATCTTTGAGGTGTCTGCACTTCTCCGTTGTATACCCGTAATCTTTATGGAAATGGAAATACTTCTTCGACCTAGGCTGTGTCGGCCCCTCATGCCTCGACCTAGGCCACGTCACATCTTTGTCCTCTATCTTCTTCTCGATGGCCACGAACACTTCTCCCATCTTTGCGTTCAGCGGTGTAAAGTTATGGAACCGCTTCCCTCCAAACACTGGTCGATCCTTCCACCTATCCTCTCGTCCACGGTTCATTCTGCCACGTCCCACAGACTGCGCCAAATGGTAACGCAAAATACTCCGACCGGCTTGAAATCGGCTTGCCTTCCTCCTCCTCGCCGGTAGAACGCCGCTTACCTACACAGAACTCTCACACCGGAGGGGTTTTCCAGTGAAGAGCCTCTGATGCTTAAGTCAGTGTATATTTTACTAAATTCTCCAAAGTATGTAATGGATAAATCGTAAGTCACAAGAAAATACTCACTCCTATATATATATAGGAGTGAGGTACCTGCCCTAGGAGCTGCCCGGATCCTGTGAGCTGTTCTGCTCGCACTTCCCGTCCGTACACACACAGTATGCGTGTGTCAGAGGTGGTTATCGCAACTATTGCTCTGCACCAATGTACTCTCGCCACTTATCCCTCTGAGCAGAAGGAGATTATTCTCTACGCATCCCGTTAGGATCTTCTAACGTAGCCCACGTGCTTTCTCGCGTTCAAGCCACGCTCTCGATTGCTCTTTACCTGTTGAGTGCTCGATCTGACCGAGTCCCCCGTCGCTAGGTCGATTCTCGACCAGTTCTGCTATTCTGCTCGATCTTTTCCCTTTTGGTCAATTATCACTCGACCAATACAGTTTTCCCGACCTCGAGCTCGCCTGACCAATGTGGTAAACCGATCTATTCTTTAGGCATATAATATCCCATATCATCATTCACTAATGATGACAAGTTTTTTTTGACCACCCGCAATTTGACGCGTTGGTGATAACGGCACCCATCATGAAGATCAAAGTTCACCGCATTATGGTCGACACCGGGGCCTATGCGAGTATCCTTTACTACGACACTTTAAAAAAGATGGGTGTCAACCTGAAAGACATACAACCCTGTCGGGACCGAATTCAGGGGTTTGACGGGAAAAAAACACTCCCGGTTGGGCAGATCGTGCTGTCGATCAAGTTTGGAGGAGACGGGCACCCCACGAGGACAATTATGGAAACTTTCCAAGTCGTGGACTGCCCCAGCGAATACAACGCCATCTTGGGCAGGGCAACCCTGTACAAACTGAGAGCGGCTGTCTCAATTTTCCACCATTCAATCAAGTTCCCGACATTGGACGGGGAAGAAACCCATCGTGGAGATTAGTGCTAAGCTAGGGAATGCGTGCTGGCAATCCCTCGCACAGAGATCAACATGGCCAACTCTGACCAAACTACCAAGGTGGTCGACACCGAAATGGAGGTCGAAGGGGACGACGATTCAACCCACATGAATATGGATGTCCCGGCCTAGGGGACGACTGCACGCTGGTTACCCGGACAGGTCCGCTCCCCTTGGCTGCAAGTGGCGCCAACCAGCGAAGAGTTAGGGCCCGACCTGAGCCAAGACAGAGGCCGAAAGGCCGGTAAGGAGCCGATCACCGAGGAGGATGAGCTCGACCCACGAGCTCAGTTTGAGGAAAAAAGGGGCACTAAGCGGGCCGAGCCCATGGACGAGGTCGAGATCATATTCATTGTTGAAGAGACCTGCCAAAAACAATTGCGAATAGGGAGAAAGTTATCGGAGTCCCTGAAAGCTGAGCTGACATAATTTCTTTGAGAAAACTCCGAAGTCTTTGCCTGGACTCATGAGAATATGGTCGGCATCGACCCTAGGGTTGTCTGCCATGGGCTGCAGGTCGACCCGGCTGTCAAGCCGGTCATCCAAAAGAGAAGAAAGCTAGGCCCAGACCGACACCATGTCCTCGAAGAAGAAGTGATTAAGCTGAAAGACAATGAGTACATCCGGGAGGTCCGATACCCGACCTAGGTGGCCAACCCGGTACTTGTAAATAAAAGCAGCAGAGCATGGCATCTGTGCATTGACTTCTCCAATCTCAACAAGACATGCCCAAAAGATAGCTACCCGCTGCCCATATCGACTACATGGTCGACGCCACATCAGGTCATGAGCTAATGAGCTTTATGGATGCGTACTCCGGCTACAACAAGATCCCCATGCACCTGGACGATGAGGAGCAAACCTCTTTCTACTCGGCGCGTTTATTGCTACAAGATGATGTCGTTTGGGTTGAATAATGCCTGGGCCACTTACCAGAAATTAGTTAACAAAATGTTTGCTAGTTTGATAGGTGTTAGCATGGTGGTCTATGCTGATGATATGTTAGTAAAGTCTGTGTACGCGTCTGATCATGTAAACGACCTTAATAAAATGTTTTCCATTTTGCGTGATTATTCGATGAAACTCAATCCCAAAAAATGTACTTTCGGTGTTGGTTCGGGAAAATTCCTGGGCTACATCGTTAGCCAGCGCGACATCGACGTGAATCTCGAGAAGATTAAGGCAGTACAAGACCTTCGACCGCCGACGTCAATCAAGGGAGTCCAAAGGTTAACCGGGAAACTCGCTGCCCTTAATCGATTTATTTCTAAGTTGATAGATCGATGCAATCCGTTCTTCGAAGCAATAAAGAAAAATCTCAAGTTCGTCTGGACCCCCAAATGTCAAAAGCATTGGAAGCAATCAAGGACATCCTTGGTCGGGCTCCAACAATGCAGAAACCCCAGCCCGGAGAGATGTTGTACCTATATCTGGGAGTTTCCGACGTCGCCATAAGTGCCGCTCTGATCAGGGAAGAAGTCTCATGCCAATATCCCGTCTACTATGTGAGCAAGGCACTGCATGATGCCGAGCTGCGATACACCCCCATGGAAAAGTTAGCCTTCGCCCTAGTGACTGCGGCTCGGAAATTGAGACCATACTTCCTTGAATACTCAGTGACTGTCCTCAGAGCGTACCATTTAAGACAAATTCTCCACCGACCCGATACTTTGGGCCGGATGGTCAGTGGGCAGTCTAATTGGGGAAATACGATACTATTACTGACCCCGAATAGCAATAAAGGAGCAGGTACTATCGAACTTCATAGCCGAATTCACGCCGGGAGTCGAGGAGACAAGAGACAAGGATCCATGGGTGATGTACGTAGATGGGTTTCTCCCAAGGGCATACTCGTCCGCACATTCACTTTATGGTTTAAAAAATACGGTCTCAACTTCTTGACCGTCAAGACCACTGCCAGAGCACACTTCTCGATCTCTGAGTACCTTAACTCCGCTCCCTGCATTACTCGACTAATATACTATATCGAAAATTGAGCCACCCCTTCTTCGCAGTAACACCGAACTTACTGTATTTTCCCCGATAGATATGTAAAGCACCAGCTCCTCCCCCTGCACCGGTTTAGCCAACAAGGGTAAATTGGCTAACACCCCCTGCAATTCCTCGAAAGGTTTCTCGGCTTCGACCGTTCACTGGAACTTCAAACTTTTCTTCAATGTTTTGAACAGCAGTCAACTTTTCTCTGCCACCTTAAAGATGAATCTGCTTAAGCCTGCAATTCGACCATTTAATATTTGCACCTCTTTGACGTTCGCGGCTGGTGTCATCTTTACTACTGCACAAACTTTCTCAGGGTTCACCTCAATTCCTCGTTTCGTCACCATGTACCCCAAAAACTTCCTCGACTTCATACCAAAAGAACACTTGGCTGGATTAAGTTTCATGTCATACCTCCTCAACGTCTGGAACGTCTCCCTCAAATCACCCACGTGATCGGCCTCCTTTTTACTTTTCACGAGCATGTCGTCGACATAAACCTCCACGTTCCTCCCAAGTTGCTCCTTGATGACGTGGAAAATTGTAATCCTTCCATACCAAAGTCCTATCCATCCACGTTATTTCAATCCTTGTCCACGTCATCACGTAATCCGGCCCCTCGAGATTACTATACTAAAATTGACAAAATTGTAATATAGTGGACTATTTTTTATGGGGAAAGTTAGTGTACCAAAACTGGACAATTACCAATTTAGAGTACCAAAATTGAATTTTTGCCTTCATTTCAATATCATCGATAAAAATTTTATCTCTTGTGCACTAACACAACAATATAGATGCGAGCTCCCAAATTGTGCAGGTAGTAGTAAACTGTTAGCCTATTGTTCTACAAAGTTTCAGCGGGTTTTCGCCCAATACACCCAAATAATCTGAAATTGCTGATGGGTGGAGATCTGTATCACAACAATGATGAGTTGTTGGTTTTTGGATTAGTACAAAGGAAGATTTTACACAATAAGAACTGTCTATGCACTACATAAGTCTATGCATACAGCATTGAGTATATTATATATAGCCAACAAAAAAAGGTGTATCATACATGAATAGTCAGCATCTCCGAGAAGACCCATCACCACCATAGTCAGCATCTCCATCCCCAATCTCCATCCGACCAAACAATTGGCACTCATCGAATGCCGGGACCCGACTGAAAGCTGTCGAGACTCGACTCGGCCCGAATGTCGTGCAGCAACGACACCTCGTGAGTAACTCTTTCCCCATCCTCAACAAAGTCCAACCCCTCCGAGTACTTCCTGAACCTGTTCCCCTTAGCCGCCCCCAAAAGCCTCTTAATCGACACCTGGGCCCGCCTGCTCAGCAACCCCTTCCTCAGAATCAGACGGAACTCCATTAAAATGAGACGCAGCCTGCACGGTGCTCGATCCATCAACAGCGACCCACACTCCACGCAGAATCGCACGGCAACATACACGGTTGTGTGGCTGGGCGGTCCGATTAACAGAAGCTGCAAGACGTCCAAGGCAAGGACCTCGTACGCGACCGCCTGGTTCACTAGCTGGGCCAGAAATCTGGAGGCTACCAACATCTTTTTCCTGTTACGGCTGTTGTAAGTCGTCCTTAATTGTAAAACGACGCGCTTCACGAGCAGGAGGCCCACGTCCGGGAATCTGGAGTTGACGGCGGCGACCAAGGCGGCGTAGAGAGTGCTCAGATCTGGGGAGACCGACTGGGCAAGCATCACGGCCTCGCAGAAAGGGCCACGGCACCAGACAACGTCGTGGCTCATGATTTCCTCGGCTACGCGTCGGATGTTGTCCGAGTCGAGTTTCCGGACCAGGTCGATAATTTTGCTGGTCGTCGATAGCCAATGTAATCTCTGGTACTCGAAGTGTTTTCTCGGGACGCCCATGGTGAAATCGGAAGATGTAATAGGAGAATTCATGGCTTTCTCTGTTTTGGGAGATTGATTTTATTTTCCGATGCGATTTTGGTATATATTATGGAAGGGGTCAGTGGGTCACAGAGATTTATGGAGGCTGATGTGGCAGAATATTGCGTTGATTGGGCTGCAAGTAACAAGAAGCTACGCGTTTGTGCCAATCTATTGTGTATATGTTTCTCACCGTCCATAAATATTTTAATTTCATTATATTTCTGATTAAGTATAGGAAACTGCTCAATTAATTAAAACCTACACAATTAACAAACTAGTACAAATCCCGTGTGATGACGGATAAGAGATATTAATTAATATTTATAAATTAAAAATTTTCATTAAATAATATTTAGAAATTAGAAAGATGGAATCAATATGTAATACAATGTACCTATATAATTTATTGAAAATGTTATATAAAATTTAAATTGTGCAAAATTATATAAAACTGTCTATTTAAAATTAGTACACATCCATACAATTGATAATAAATTACATTATATCATTTCAAAGTATGTGTCATTTCAAAAATTTTATTCTGAAATTCGATTTGACTATAACGTGATTCCATAAAATAATTGTTTTGGTAAAATTTTATCATATATTTAAAAACCTATGTGAATATTAAGTATAAATATAAAATTTAAATTGTTTAATTAATTAAAATAAATTTATTTTTGTATAAAATATCCAAATCAAAAAATTTAAGTAGTTGAGTAAAAGCAATCAGTCATAAGATTTTTTNCATTATATCAAAATATCAGCTCATATTATTTTGTCAGAGTTACGGTAATTTTATTATGTTAATTTTATACGAAAAATTGAAATAAAAATTTGAAACGCAGCCTAAAAACCAATATATTAGCTTCCACATTACAGAAAAGAGTACACCGTATATTGATTAATTTTTCAATAAATTTTCTATAAAAAAATATTTATCAAATAACCTAAATTTTCTCACTTTATATCATATATTAATTAATTTATTCCTACAGAAACAATCATCAATACCAAAAATAAATTCGTCCACTATATACCATATATTAATTAATTCACATGACTTGAGTATTTAAGGTATCTTAAAATACTTCCTTTAATAGTGAGCCGCAGTTACCATATGTGATCATTTGAAATATACCATTGTTAAATTAATTTTCCAAAACAGTAAAGAATTTTTTTGGAGGGAAATAGTTACTATTTAAAAAATAATCAAACCTTTTTATATAGACTAGTACAGTACCCGTGCGATGCACGGGGCTTTATTATTTTCGTCCCTTTTAAAAAATAATTTTGAATTAAAATTCAAATTATATGCTAAAGGAAATATCATGCCATTACTAATTACTAAATATAATAAAAATAAAATCTATATATTATTGAACACTTCCTTACCAAATGATATGCACCTCCTACAAAAATCTCGAAGCTTGGGAACATCAACACCGATTAGTAGGGTCACGTCCTTTTATGTGGTTATTCGAACTTCATCTAATTAAAAAATATATGGGATTCGCCGATCAAAACAAAAAAAATGTTGAGTTATTTATTGAGTTTAATTATATTAAAATAAATGAAATACCTCCTCACTCATTTACACGGTACATTTGCATGATGAGGACAAAAAGTTTTTCTTGATTTTGGTAATGATGCTCAAAAGCAATCAACTAGTCAATATATTGGCCCCAAAGCGTAGAGTTCTTCATGTTTTCCCTATACAATGTCAAAAAAAATTTAAAAGGCATTTTATATGTTAAAAAACATTCAAAACAACTATTATATATAATGATAGATCAACAATATGTATATATAATGTTAAGGATTTTGACTCTAAGTCTATAAGAGATAAGACGATCATTTGGGTAGGAACTTCCTTGACAATCTTCAATTGAATAGGTTGTATAGAAACAATCAATCCAATCATCTACAAAAATATAAGACAATTCATCATATTAAATTGTCAGAATAGATTATATTATTTTGAATTAAATATATAAAATATAAAATAAAAATAAACAAAAATTAGAACGTACAAAACAATATGGATTTGTCCTTCCAGTTGTGAAACTTAATTTGACCGTTAATAATGATCCTCCAAGTGCAAATTATTGATTTGTATATATCAATATTGCTTTTCACTTGGTAGTTTTAAAGATATAAGCGCCACTTTCTTCAATTTCGTCGATGAATTGTGGAATATTGACGGATCGAATTATACCAATAATTCATCATTCCTAAAAAAGTACATATTCCGTAATTAAATAAAAAGATCATAAAGAATGTAGCATAAAATGATGCATATAAATAATAATATAAAGACAAAGTAGCTCAGAATCGTGAAATATAATCTTAAGAACATTTCGATAATTGTGCTCGCTTCAATGCGTTAATACATTATAATAATGCGTAGCTTGATCATTGGCCTATTAGTTCTTTTATATCTTTGATTTTTCCAAAAATCAAAGTCATTTCGAATGGGGATGGAAAAATTGATTCAAAAGTTTGTTTTGTGGAATGCATTATTTCCTGTCGATATTTGATTCAATGATCACACCATGTGGTGTTTATATAGTGATTGTGCATGTGCCATCTACCTATAAATTCGAATTTAAGAAAAATATCAAAAAGAATTTGAAAATAGATTTTTCAGATATATAATAATGTAATCAAGGAGTGACATTAAATTGATTTAAATTTAATTTTCCCAACTAATTGGATTGAAAATTTGAATTGATTTGAATTCTCATAACCTAAAAATCTGTCAACTTTTATGTGATATCGATTGATTTGAATTTCCTAAAAATATGTCAATTTTTAGAGATTCACGCGGATTTTTTTAGGAAATAGAGAGATGATCATTTTACGGAAGATAATTAGTAGCAAACATTTTTTAATTAATGTGTATCAATAGTTGCTTAAAAGAGTTGTATTGGGAGTGCATCACTATTACTTGAAAAAAATCGTAGCATATATGCACTGAATATGCTTTCAAAATTAATTCATTAAAAAAATAAAAAGATGACCAAATTTGAAATGATTTGCATTCGAATTTTAATTTTATTTGAATTTATTTTTCTAAATGTATTAGGATTGACATCAACCAAAAATTTTATCCGATTTTATTAAAAAAGAAAATGGATATGAAATGTGTTGTATATTGTGTTTGAAATATAAAAAACTTGAATTTAAATAAAAACATTAAGTCTATTAATTAAAAAAAATGATAGAAAATCGGCGAGAGGATACCGATAAGAAATAGGTAATTGCATGTTATTTCATAATAGATCTGATAAACTAATAAAGAAAAAGATGGGATAAATTGGTTTTTACATACAAAATTGTTTTTTACAAAAAATTAATTAAATATGCATAAATTATGTATGGAATATCACTTGATTTGAATGTAATTTACCGAAATTATTTGGTTTGTTTACAAAAAAATGTACTGATACATTTGTTAATACGTGTATCACATAAATATTTTATGTACTAACTTTTTATTATATAAATATGTTTTTCGAAGCACTCTCTACACGTGTGTCATAGTGACAATATATTTCAGATTATTATTCATCTGAAAGTTCGTTATAGCTGTCACCGCAAAACCCGACTCCGCCGGCGGACGCCGACCTTTCAGCTCTTATCCATGAACATTTTGGTCTCTCTCTCTCTGAAAATATTTTCCCTTTGATTTCGACTTTCCATACACCTGTTCTTGTGCGTCAACTCGACTGCTATTGATATATCAATCCTTACAGGAAATAATTCAGATGAAAAAGAAGGAACCAAATGATCCGCCGCCGGCGCCGGTGC